GCAGAGACTCGGTCTTTCCAGCTGGAAAGTGGGAATAATCAACAGTGCCTTCCTCAGGGGAGAACATATGAAGAGTACTTAGTCCAGTGCCTGGCATACAGCAAGCATTCAACGTGACTGTCGACTGCCAGTGCTCCAATCATGGAAGCCAGCTGAAATTCCATGTGTGGAATTAAGTCTCAGAGCACTGAAATGGGTCACCCAAGGTCAATCCAGCAAGTGAGTTAGGGAGTATTCCCAGATTTATCGATTTTTGAAGATGTTTCCTTAAAACAATGTCAGTGTCCAGTGACCTAGAAGTCTGGGTGTCTGATGGCATCCAACTATCACAGCTGGTGATTTAGGTACTTTCACATGCCAGGAACTATGCACACAAAAGTGTGAGGGTGCCTATATTAGGTCAGTTCTAAGAGGGTCACTTCATTGCTTTGGGCAAGCTAAATAAATAAATAAAAAGCCCTGCACAGTATCGGAGAAAACTCCAGATCTGCTGCTTATGCTGCCGAATGATAGCAATATTTATTGTCCGTATTTGTATTATGATGTAGATAAAAAGGTGACCAATGTCCAGGTTCCTGGCTTTGCAAGTGTGTGCGTGAAAAAAATGTGTGCGTGTTTTAATTGGGAAAAAGATGGAGGAAGATCCTAAGGAACTAAGATAGAGACTAGTTAAGGACACTGCTAGACAGACAATGAAGGCTGTCTGTACACGTGCTAAACACAGATCCATGATCCTCCCTGAGGACTAACTCTGGTAGTATCGGAAGGTGCTATGCAAGCTGCAAAGGGAGAAAAGCAATCACTAGTCCTACCCAGCTGTAAAAGCTACGAACCACAACTGCCCTGGTGAGACATTCTCAATGGTGCAATAGTTGCCCTTTTATCTTGGGGGTAACCAACAGCTATTTAATTGGACTTAAGGCCTGCTTAGGAGGAAGGAAGTCATGCCAGGTACTGCAAACTAGCTAACTACTCCGGCTGGAGAGGTCACAGACCCTAGAGCAGAACCGACTACAGCCAGTTTCCTAAATCAGTATAATTTTCAACAGGAACCTGCAGGCTTGTCTTTACACCCACGGATGAGTGTAGCTCTCGGTCCCTCATCAAAGACGCCTCTTTTTGAGACATGGGGGGACTCTTACAGAGATGCACAGCTGTCAGATGTAGAGAATAAATGGCTGCGGTGGTCCTCATCCATGAACGATTCATGACAACAACACAACCCCTAGACCTAAGGGTCAGAGGAAACCACTGAACAGGGTGTGAAAAGATTTTAAGAGCCGAAGTACCAGGACACCTGCCACTAGATAACATCTTCCGGACAGGACAGGGAAGCAGCAGCCATGAAACCTCAATGATACGGCTGCCTACACAAGACATGCGCGCTGGCAGCACCGACGGACATACCAAAATGGATGGAGGAGATTTCTCAAGATCCTACCTGCAGGCAATCACCGGCTGCTGAGAGAGGGAGAATCAGCTTTCTTTAGGGATGAGTCCCCTGACCTATCCAAACCTAAGTGGTCAGTCCTAAACACAACTACAACGAGCACCACTACACAGACCCAGTAGGTTACAATGAATGAATAGACCAATTCATCTTTTGAGCCCACCTGATAAAGCAGTCAGAAGTGGATGCTCCAAAGTGTCCTGAGTGTGGGAGCTCTGGAGAGAAGAGGTGTGACAGAAATGCTCTCACTCATTAGGTCCCCTTGTCAACTAGCTCTCCTAATACTACATGGCCAGTGAAATTTTACACGTTGCCAAGATTCTAGAGGAAAGAGCGATTTCAAGACCCAAGTCCTGCCAACCATAGAATGTTTGCCACAATATTAATATTGCTGACTCTTTTATAGCACCAACCATGACAGAGACCAGGAGGTCTCAAAATCCCTGGGAGCCATCAGAGAAAAACAGATGGTGGGGTCTAGAAGTTCAGATAAGCAAATGGCAATGACTGTCTACTCTTTAGATTGCTAGACTTGTCCATGTCCAATCTCATGTCACAAAACTGTTCGCATTAGAAAGGGATTGAAGTTCCTTTAAGAACCATTCTTTGAAAGAGTAGCAGGCCAAGGCCACCCTACAATTTTAGCCGCACTAAATTTATAGGTAGGGGAACTGATGTCAAAATGAACATTAAGCAGAACCTTTGTGTGGAGGAGTGAAGGAGCCCACTCCTGGAGCCCAAAACGTGTGAGCAAAGAGAAGCAAGCAGGCTTTCCACGTTAGCCTGAGAATGAGCAGGGTCACTTAGTCAGCCTCTGTTTTATGGTGGGTCTGTGTGCCAGGGGTAGCAACCATTTCCTTTTCCACAAATGGCGGCAATGTGGAGCATTCCATAGCTTGATATGAGGTGAATGTCTTTTTTTTCCCAGCCAAGATATCATTATTTAACCCTTGTTGATCTAGAACTCTATGGCCTCAAATCCTCGTCTTTACCACCTAAGAGCTGGAATTACAGGCATTTGTCACCATGCTTAGCCCAAACCTACAGCACCAAAATTCTCTTCAAGCATCTCGGAAACGCATACGCCAAGAATCATAAGACAATTGGTTTTAAACCTTCTCGAATCCCAGGAGAAGAATGTCAACACACAACAGCCAGTACGCTGAGTATGACTTGAGGACCATAACCAAAAATGCTGGCTTATGTCCATTTTCCTCAAACTGCCTTACACTTTTCAAAAACAAACATTCTAGTTTCTGAAAAGGCTAAAGGGAGGAAGACAAAAAGATATAGCCAGTTTCAGATTATCTTAATCCCTTTCCCTATTCCTTCCTTGGCCAGGTATGAACAAAGGGAGCTGAGAATGTGCCAGGGCAGAAATTGTTCACACTTTAAAAGGAATGTTCTCTCTCTCTCTCTCTCTCTCTCTCACACACACACACACACACACACAGTCACCAAATTCTAAGGCACCTTGTCTGTAATTAGGGGGTAGAAAGAGTGGGGAAGAGAGGAGTGACGAACACAAATTCGAGAGCAGTTGAGCAGCAGCAGGGTTAGATTTCCTTTTTCTCCCTCAAGGACAGCCAGATCTGATATGGCTGGCTGAGGCTAAGCCAAGCTGCCCCCCTTTACTGCACTCAGCCAGCTCTGTCCCTGTGGTGCCAGAAGCCACCACATCATCAGAGACCCTTTTCAGAGCTTTAACTGTGACTGCCACTCACGACCTAGCTTGTCATCTCCTTCGGAAGAGCTCGAAGATGTCCCATGAGCAGAGGCAGACAGAAAAACCACCCCACCGCCTGTGTAACGTAGCAACTCTTCTGATAAAAATGACACTTTTAAAACTAACACCGACCTTTCCCTATCGCAAAAGCTGTAATTTAGCTCTTCCCTGTAAAACGACACTATCCCCTTTAGAAACAATCGGAGTCAACTGAAATAAACGTAGTATAAGACTCACTAACTCTGCTAATATCTTTTATTCAAGGACTCCAGGCTCTTAAATCAGTTTAGAAATGTAAGAAATCATGCCCCATTCTTTTCTTTTCTTTTCTTCTTCTTCTTTGTTTTGTTTTGTTTTGGTTTGGTTTGGTTTTTTCCAAAACGGGGTTTCTCTGTGTAGCTCTGGCTGTCCTAGACTTGCTCTGTAGACCAGGCTGGCCTTGAACTCACAGCGACCAGCTCGCTTCTGCCTCCCTGCGTGCTGGGATTCCAGGTGTGCCTGTGCCACCACTCTGGGGCTCATCCCATCACTTTCAAAGAGGGGGTCAAGAGAGCTCCATGTTCTTACCTCCCAGTCTGTGTATCTGAAGAACACCCAGTCCATAGAAAAGCCTTCTTGCACCCTTTCTGCTGGGGAGGTCAGGCCTCTGTGCCACTATCCTCAGCTGTGAATCAGCCTGGGATAAACCCAGCCTGGACTGGGCAAAAACCAAGCCCACCTAGCTGGAGGGAGGGGCCCCACAGACGTGGAGCTGCCTGTGTTGTCTCTGCTAGCCACCCGGCCTAACCTTAGTCACCTCAGTTCCAGGACCATAGACGAAACGCTCAGACACTTCCTCTTCTCCTGTAACCCCCTTACAAGTCCTGCAACCTCCCTTGATTCTGTCTTGAAGTGGCCAAAATCAACACTAGATCAACTTAGCATTCCTCTCCAAAGATCGGTGTTCCGTTGCCCCTACTGCCTGTCTCTGGTTCTGAATACAAAGTCTCAGAAAGGGCAAAGAAGTGTTATCTCATCCCGCCACTCACGTCTCTACTTGCAGACCCACCCTTGGTCACAAGCTCCCTCACAGAGATGCAGGAGAACCACCCAGAGACTACCGTGCCTCCTGACTTCCGTTGGACCACAGACAGAAGCAGATGTAGCCCTGCCTTCCAACCAGGTAAATGACCCAAGCTCCTGGATGGCTGTGCCGCCACAGGACAAGAGCCAATGGTCACATGCAAGCCCATCCAAATGCTGAAGGAGCCTGGTTTCTGGGGACACAGATTGGGGATCGGGGTCTCGGAACCCGACCCATTTGTCTTGCAGAGAGAAAGACCCTGTATCATTCTTATAGCCGCTCCACCAGCTCTCTCTTTGACCCCTCTTCCTGGTACACAAGAAGCAAAACAAGCAAACAAACAAAGCCCCTAGGCTTCCTGAGGATCCCAGATCGTTTGTTATTGGGGCGCAGCGAACACTCAACAATGGGTGAGCAGAGCCCCAAGGCTACACTGGTGTGCAGCTTCCAAGGACCCTCCAGCGTGAGAGCAACCACGGCAAACTCTGTGCCCAAAGCGATCACGCAACCACCTCCTAAGAAACCCCAGGGAAGAAAAGGAGATACGGTGCGGGGAAAGAAGGGAAACGGGTCAGTTTCTGACTGGTGACAGAAAGAGAAAAAAAGAAGACACCTGGGGAAAACGCCAATTCCTCTCTGGCCTAGCCAGAAACAGGGCTGGCTCCATGGCTCTCCATCCCAGCCCTCCATCTCCCACCAGGAAACAGCGATGGTGTATGCAGACTGGCAGCCAGGGGCTGGCCACTGACCTAGGCACCCACCTGAAAAAGAATGCCCAATCACCCAGTTCCTTCATGCACGCGGAAGAGAAGGCAATAGGGTCGTTTTGACAAGACTCCTTCTCCACCAGCAAAGCCAGGGGTGTCTGTGGTTCTCACTCCCAAGACTTGGCTCTCCAGTTTTCATCCAGTCTGGCGCCCCCCTCTGTCCTTTCCAGAGGGCCGCGGGGTGCACGCCACTGGGGGGGGAGAGGGGGTATCAATCTTCAGAGGGCTGAGATCCTCAGCTGAATCTTTCACCCTCGGCTCAACCCAGCACCCCTTTGTTTCAGGCGGGGAAAGTTGCCAGTGTGCACCCCTTTCGCCAACACGCCCCCCTGCGCGCCCAACCCCCGCAGGAAAGCCAAGCTCAGACACACCATCCAATCTGCGGCTCGCTACCCAGCCAGCCCCAACAGCCTCTTCGAAACCGAAAGCAAAGAGGAGGCGGGATCCGGTAGTGTCCCCTCACGAGGTCGCCGGGGCTTCCCCATCACCACCCCATCACCCGCACCCCCGCGCTCGGCCCCGCGCAGACATCTCTGTCCGCGGCGGAAAGGCCTCTCTGCGGGCATCGCGGGCACCTACCGGTGCAGGGCCGGGGACGAGGACAGGGTTAGGCAGGACGGGGCCGGGTGGCCGTCTGCCCGACGCAGGTGCGGCCAGGAGCGCGGTCTCCCGGGCTGGCTCCCGCTCCTCCTCCCGCGCCGGGACTCGGGGCGCTCTCCTGCGCCGCCTGCACCCCGCCCCCACGCCCGGCGCTCGCCCCCCCTCCCTCGCCGAGTGACCGGACGAGCCTCCCCCACGCGGCCGCCCGCCCGCCCTCCCGCTACTATTCCCGCATCGAGTGTCCGCGGCCGCCGGGGCGGCTCGGAGCTGCAGCCGCTGCTGCCCCAAGGAACCCAGCCCCAGGCGGCGGCGGCGGCGGCGGCACTCACCCATAGTACGGATGCGGTGCAAACTGCACATGCTCGCGTCTGACAGGCGCTCTGCCCCCGGCCCTGTTTAACTCCTTCGGCGCCCGCGCGCGTCCGCCGGGCCCGCTGCCCCCGCCGGCCCAGCCGCCTCTCGCCACCCATCCTCAGCCAGCCGGCTGCTCTGCCGGGACTCCGCTCGCCTGCCCCGCGGCCCCTGAGGCTCAGGTGGCTGCTGGGAAAGAGTCCTCGGCCCTCCCTGCCCAGAACACTCCTGCATTCCAGGTGTGGGCTGAGGGTCGCCTCCCGGATTGTAAGAGTTGCAGGGAACCGCTTTGGACAGCGTTCACTTTGGGTATCGTGAAGGTTCAGGCTACCAGAGGTCCACGCTTCACACGGCGTGGTGTTGCTTCCCCATTTCGTGCCCACATTGTGTCCAATGCAAGTTCATCACGGAAGCAGCCAGACCAGGTCGTTGCTTTTTTTTTTTTTTTTTTTTTTTTTTATCATCGTCATCTTTGTTTCTAAGATGGAGAAACTGAAGCTTGTGAAAATTAGAATTTGCCTCAATCAAGGCCCGAACCTCCAAGGTCCACGATTATTTGGATCATAACCATTAAACGGAATATGTTCTTCCTGAGGTCTTCTTAGGAGGTGCAAAACAATGAATGTCACAGAAAACAAACAAACAAATAAACAAAAGCAAAAGCCGAGTTCAGGTAGGCCTCTCAAATAGCCGTGGGTCCTACAGGAAACCGGAGTGAAATTCCCCGTTCCTGGTGCTGAGTGCTTCATCCAAGAGGAACTGACAATCTTGAAAGTCTATAATGCCACTTGGGGAGGTTTTCTTTTCTTTTTCCTTTTCTTTTTTTAGGCAAGGTCTGATCTTGAACTTCCTATCTTCCTGCACCCACCTGCCCAACGCTGGGATGACAGGAAGGCCCCAGATCTGGCATGGAAGTGGAGGCCTGTCCTTTTTTTAAACAACACAACCAGAGAGCAGTCTTCCACAATTCCCACATACACTATGGTGCCTAGGCCTGATCTGAGGGGTCTGGAGGTTTGTTCTCTAGGCTGAGACTGTAGCCCAGTGGAAGAGCAAGTGTTTAGCCTTCTGGAGGCCTAAGATTCACCTTCGAAGTGGGCATATATACATTTGTGTGCGTGGGTGGGGCTCATGCGTGCCCTGCCCACCCCCTCCCAAATCAACATAGAAGTGGAGAGAAACTTAGGAGAAGGGGTTACTGTATTAGTCAGGGTTCTCTAAAGGAACATAACTGATAGAAAAACATATGTGGGATTTACTGGTGTACCTTACATACTGTGGTCCAGCTAGTCCAAAGGAAGGTCCAAGGATCCAATCGTTGTTCCGTCCAGTCCACGGGGAAGTCCCTTGGAAGTGGGGTTCTAATGCCAGTAAGGAATGCTTCAGCAGCAGAATGGATGAACTTGCCGGTAAGAATGAGGGCAAGCTGGCAAAAAGCAAAAAGCTTCTCTCTTCCATGGCCTTTATGTAGGCTGCCAGGAGGTGTGGTCCAGTTTTAGGGAGGGTCTTCTGATGTCCAACAACACAACCAAGAAAAATCCCTCACAGGCGTGCCTAGCTGCTTGGGTTTTTAGTTAATTCTAGGTGCTGTCAAGTTGATAACCAAGAACACGCACCGCAATGACCAAAGAAATTGCAGCACTTACTTCCTTTAAAAAAAAGTGTTTAGCACTTACTTCCTTAAAAAAAAAAAGTGTTTAAGTTTTCGCCTGCACGTATGTACACTACTAGGAACCCCTGGTACTGAGTTACAGACTGTTGTCAGGCACCATGTGGATGCTGGGTACCTAACCTGGGTCCTCTGCAAGAGCAGCAAGCGTTCTTAATTGCTGAGCCATCTCTCCAACCCCATCTACCCACTTTTTACAATGTGCCAAGTGGACAAAGAGGTCTCAGAAAACCAAGGCAACACAAGTCAAGAAAGGAAGGTAAAGCTCATCCAACCAACCTTGCCCCACTCAAGATAAGAAGCCAGGCTGCTTTTCTATTTTCTGAACCTAATTGGATCCCCTTGATTGCCTGATGAGACCATAGATTTTTCCATCAGTCTTATGTCCCTAGGCAGGGTATTCAAAGATCAACAATGACACATCTCTAAACTAAAGTGGGCAGTGTTGACCAGGGCCTTTAAGCCCATCCCATACACACTATGTTCTTGGTCTGGA